AAATATTTTATAAATAAGCATGAGGACTATATAGACCACATATGGTTAGTGATTGTGACAAGAAGTCAAGATTTTGGTCCCAGAGTAGGTAAAACAAAATTAGTGGTACTTATTATAGACTACTGTTTTTATCGGGTTCATTTCTGTTGGGGTGTTAGTTAGGCATTGCAAAACCAGTCAACATACTACATTCCAACTTCTGTTAACATGTCAACTTCTGTTTAAATGTCAGTCTTAACCTCTAATCTTTGACCACTGTTGTTTTGTATGTTTCATTGTTGTTGTTTTTGCCCCACTGGGTAGTGGAGCTTCTATTATAGTAGGAACTTTATATTTGTTCTGTAGTCTTCTGTTCAATCTTTCATTAAAAAAATTAATAGTGTACAAGCTATTACAAGAAGGTTGTTTAAAATAGAAATAAAAGTGTCTTTAAGTATTCTGAAATATTTTCCCATAGAGATAATAAAAAGCATAGTAACTAACATTCATTTGAATATCTACTCTGTTGAAAGTACTATTTTAAGCTTCTTACCTGTCTTAACTCATTTAATCAACACAATGATCCTATGAGGTAGGTATCTTTTCTTGCTTTGTTGTTATTATTGTTGTTACTTTCATTTTACAGATGAGGGAATTAAAGCTTATATTAAAGAACTGGCCTAAGATCATACAGCTAGTGAGTGGTTGAGCCAAGATTTGGACCAAAGAGTAGACTCCCAAAAGCCCATGCAAAAGTGTCCATTTACCTTGTCCACATATAATTTTTTGAAGACAATATAGAAAATTATTGTGGAATCTTATTATAGGGGACTGAGGAATGACTGAAGAAAGCTGTAAACTACTCATCCATTATTCTTTATAAGAAAGGAGCTCTTTTTAAGAAAGGAGACATGAGGTCACAGGAAGTTTTTTTCAAAATGAGGAAAACTTGAGTATGAATATAGATACTGAGGAGTCAAAAGGGTGAGAGGGTGCCAGATGAAGGAAGTCCCTGAGAAAGTAGGCATAGTGAGCATTCATTGATTGGTGCCTTCTCCCACATTTCTCCTTTCCTTTCACATTCATATGGCTTCCAAAAATAGATGCCACCTCCCTCCCCAGCTCTATGAGTGGAGCCTGATGGTTTTGATCCATGCTCCTTGCTTTAGTGGTTGATGTAGGGATGGACTTATGTTCCAAGTAAGGCCATGAGAGTCAAGAAAACAACTCTAATATTTTGTTTGTACTCAACTACTGACCTAAGGATTGGTGGTTAGAATCCACCCAGGGGCACCAAAGAAGATAGTCTCGACAATCTGCTTCCATAAAGATAATAGCCAAGAAAACTCTATGGAGCAGTTCTACTCTGTAACACATGGGGTTGCTATGAGTCAGAATGTGCTTGAGGACAAGAAGTTTGGTTTTGGTTTTGTCAGGTTATACATATGATTTTAAGTATGTCTTATTCTTTCCCCCTTTTTAGTAGATCTTTTACAATTAACAGCCTTCTCAAATCACATATAAAGATTTCTGTTCTATGTGCAGTCCTGTACTCCCTGCTGGAGACTCCCATAGCATTTTGCTAATTTAAAAAAATACTTTTACTGTGTACTACTATAATTTATAATGGACACCTCAAGAGCAAGGATAGAATTTATAGCAGATGCTAGTGGTGTCCACCTGTCTGGTCTTGACACTCACTACTCCAGTACATGTCAGCAGGTTCTACTGCGAGCACTTGTGACCCTGCCTGAGGGCTTTCTCTTAGCCTGGCCAGGCACAAGCCAGAAGTGCTGGGGATTTAATGCCTACAGGAGCAGTAATAATCAGCCAATGGTGGGTGAAAAATGGAGGATAAATACCTGTGGCTCCTTGACCTTACCTCTCTTGGGCAGGAACTATGAATCATGTTTGTCACTATCTCAGAGGCCTCTCATCAGGAATGAACTCCAGTTGCCAACAGCAATGACCTTCTCAATAACTGAATCAATTACTGGTTTCTTTGCTTTCCCTATTTAACTTTTCCACTCTACTTCTGATGCTTCCTGGAATCATCTTCTAAATAAACCACTTCTACTCAAGTTGTGTTTCAAGGTCTGCTTCTGAGAGAACCTAGTCTAAGATAGTATTTTATTCCTTATTTTCTTCAAAAAAAAAAAAAAATCTTTAGGGCATGGCCTGGTGCTTGACAGTTGATATACTTTCAATAACTGTCTTCCAAATGAATTCACTTGTAGATTATTTCAATTACCCACTACTCCTTTTCAAAATGATATAAAATTGTCACTTCCAAAGTTAACCCTTGCTCAGAACATTGAGCCTTTCTTCTTGAAAATGATCATTGTCTCCCTATCGCATATGAATTTTACACAATATGAGCACTGGTTATAGTTCTTTCACATTTCCCTCTTTTCTTTCCTCTCACTCTCCTACCCAATGTGAAGTACTTATCTTGGAAGTGGACCACGTGGTGGTTGGACATCATCTAGTCTTGGTGATTGTTCATAATTGGGCAACAATTCAAAATACAG